TTTTTTTTTTTTGGCGAGTTGTTTGCTGTGTAAATCACCCAACGTTTCTGTTATGTCAATAAAAAAAACAAGTTGGAAGCTTTCACGGGGTGCTTATGACACTGATGAACTCGCTGACAGCTGCAGCACCCTCAGCCCAGCGGGACCAGCCCACTGGGGGTGGGCCCAATCCCAGGTCTGGGCAGGGGAGCTTGCAGTTTGCCGCTCGGCTCGGGTCAATTGCGCGCAACCCACGCGACTACTTTGCGACTATTTGTGGCCGATATTCGGTCACATTGCAAGGAGAGAGAAAAAAAAAAAGGACTCTGTGCCCGCGCCCATACACGCCCGACCGACCTCACACAGTCCAAACTCGCAAGACAGGGCCGCCACAATGTCGTCGGAGAAGCCGCTCCCCTTCATCTACCAGTTCGCGGCCGGTGAGTTGAACCCCCCGCCCTCGATATCCTCCCCCGCCGCCGTCACCTTGATCGGAGCGCCAAAAGTGGAACCCCCCGGCCCTCGTGCCGACATGTCTGTTGCCTTGTCGCTGACTTATTGGACCGCCACCTCCGCCAGGCGCCGTGGCCGGAGTCTCCGAGGCAAGAGCGCCCACTTGAACAAATACCCGCGCGGCCTCCTGCTAACGCGCCGCCGTCGCCGTCCTCCAGATCCTGGTTATGTACCCGCTGGACGTGGTCAAGACCAGGATGTGAGTGTCCCTCCCTTCCCCTGATGATAGGGGTGGTTTTGGTGGCCGGTTAATGTAATAGGGCCCAGGTAACTGACCGTTCTGCTTGCCTGCCTGCTCTTCCACCCCCATATCCAGTCAGCTGCAAACCGGGACTGGAGGCGGCGCCGATGCCTACAACGGCACGCTGGACTGCTTCCGCAAGATCATCAAGCATGAGGGCGTCTCGCGCCTGTACCGCGGCATCAGCGCCCCGATATTGATGGAGGCCCCCAAGCGCGCCACCAAGTTCGCCGCCAACGACGAGTGGGGCAAGTTCTACCGCAACCTGTTTGGCCAGGAGAAGATGAACCAGAGCCTGTCGGTCCTGACGGGCGCCTCGGCCGGTGCCACCGAGTCCTTTGTCGTCGTCCCCTTGTGAGTTTTTTTTTTTCTTTTTCTTTTTTTTCTGGACAAACACCGTGCTTGTGTGACGTTTCTGCTGACTGCCGCGAACCCTCCCCCAACTAGCGAGCTGATCAAGATCCGTCTCCAGGACAAGGCCTCGGCCGCCAACTACAACGGCCCGGTCGATGTCCTGATGAAGACGGTCCGCAAAGAGGGAGTCCTTGCCCTATACAACGGCCTGGAGTCGACCCTGTGGCGTCACATCCTGTGGAATGCCGGTTACTTTGGCTGCATCTTCCAGGTCCGACAGTTGCTGCCCAAGGCCGAGACCAAGAAGGGCCAGATGGGCAACGATATTCTTGCTGGCAGTGTCGGTGGAACTGGTACGTCTTTCTTACTAATGACAGCAAGAGTGGCATGCTAACGGTCAACCTTCATGGCCAAAGTCGGAACGATAGTTAACACGTGAGTCAATTTTACCCGCACCCTGCTATACTTTATATACTTTTACAAGCGTGATGCTGACCTGTGTGCTATTGTAGGCCAATGTAAGTAGCAGGCTCATGGACCGTTTTCCGCAAGGCCAGAACAGAGGCGAGATACTAACTCCTGACGCGACTGTAGGGATGTCGTCAAGTCTCGTATCCAGAACACGACCAAAGTCAGCGGCGTGGTGCCCAAGTACAACTGGGCCTGGCCTGCTCTCGGCACCGTCATGAGGGAGGAGGGCTTCAGCGCCCTTTACAAGGGTGCGTTCTTGTTTTCGAGCCCCTGGACCGATGACGCGTATGGGCTCAAATACTGACGACGTGCCCTCATCTAGGTTTCCTTCCCAAGGTTCTGCGACTTGGACCGGGAGGTGGCATCCTGCTGGTCGTGTTTGGAGGCGTTATGGACTTTTTCAGAAATATGAGGGACTCGGCTCCGGCATAAATCCGGCGCCTCAGGCCGCACCCATCTCTGCGTTTTGTTGACTTGTTTTCCTTGAATAGAATGCTTGGCCTCTATTGATACACGCGCATAGACCTAGTTCATGTCCTACACGGCAGGGGGAGCATAGTTGGAGATGGAGTCTGTTGACTTGGCTGTGGTTAGATACCCACGTACATCATTATTGGATGAATTCAAGTGGTGCTTTCTTGGTTATTTTGATTTCGTTGATGTGTGGTATCCTTGGGTATCGCTATCTAGTCAAACACAATCTTCTTGCCCTCGAACTTGACACCCTCCTGCGCCTGCTTGGCCTTTTTCTTGGCCAGCCAGCTGGGATGCAGGGGCCCGGCGTCGTCGCGCTTCTTTTGCTCGTCATTCTTGGGCTTCTTCTGCTTGACGGTCTTGGGGGGCTTTTGGGCCTGGCCTTCTCGCTGGTCGCCGCCGCCACCGCCTCCTCCGCCTCCTCCTCCGCCTCCTCCCTGCAGGGGGTTGCGCACGCCGCGCTTCCACGGCTTCCCGTCGGCGGCCGGGTCGACGGCGCCCCGCCTGGCGTCCCAGCCCGCGTCCCTCTTCTTGTTGTCGGGCTTGCCCAGGTGCTTGGCGCCCTCGCCGTACTTCTTCTCCCAGATGGCCTGGCGGGCCTTTTGGCCCCTACGGTTCTTGCGGGCCGGGGGCGCCACGTCCACGTCGGACGCCGACTCGGATCCGGACACGTAGCCGCCCATCAGCGACGGGAGGAAGGTGGAGTTGGTCGGCCGCGCGGCCTTGGCCGCCGCCTTGTCCTTGTCCTTGTCCTTGAGTGCTTTGGCAGACGGGTCCGGCTCCGACGACGCCTTCTCCTTCTTTTTCTTCTGCGGTGGTGCGACGGCTGCTGACGACGCGTCCGACTCAGCGTCTTCTTCCGAGCCGGATTCAGACTCCGGGCCGTCCCCGTCCTCGTCCTCCGGGACCGAGTCGCTTCTAGGTAGGGAGATGTCGTCGTCGAAGCTCCGGGCGCGCGACTTGAGCTTTGCTAGCCTGGTACCGGTGTCGTCATCGTCGTTGTCGCTATCGTCTTCGCCCTCGGAGGAGCTCCCTCCGAGCATGGCTTCCATGCGCGAGATTGCAGCCTCGTTCAGCTCGTCGTCGGCGGGGCTGTCGTCGTCGTCGTCGTCGCCGCCGCTGTCGCCGTCCTCGTCGTCTTGCTCAAGTGGCGCATGCGGAGAGTCCGATTCTGATTCCGCCACCTCTTCCCGCTTGGACCTGGTCTCCTTCCGCTTCGACGGGTCCTTCTTGGCGACGGGCGCCGCATCCTCCTCCTCGAGCGGCGCCTTTTTGGATGCGCCCCCCTCCTCCTTCCTCTTCGCGTCGGACCCGGGGGCGGGCACACCCAGGAGCGCGCACAGGTCGGGCACGGCCTTGGCCATGACGGCGCGCACCTGGTTGCGCTTGTACAGGGCGCTCGTGACGTTGTGCAGGGCGGCGCGCTCCTCGTCCGTGACGTCGGGCTTGGGCACGCCGCCCCGCAGGCGCGCGGGCAGGTGCGGCGACTCGGCGGCCCGCTTGACCTTGAGCAGCGCCGAGCAGAGGTGGGCGTGGGCGGCCTGGTGGAGGTCCAGCGACTTGAGCACCAGCACCTCGTGGTCGAGCCGGCGCAGCGTCTCCTGGCCCAGCTTCTGGTCCTTGCTGCGCTTCGCCAGGCGCTGCCGCTCGAAGCCCTTGGCCGCCTTGAGGGCGCGGAATAGGTCCTTGCTGTGCTTCTCGAAGCTCTGCTCGATCTCCTCCTCGACCGAGCGCTTACGTTTCGGCATTTTTGCCGTGTTGTGTGGTGATGCCTTTTTTTTTTTTGGCTGGTACCTATCTACCTCTAGGTCGCCGTCATAGGCTCTGTCTCAGTCTCCTTTGGGCGGGTGCTTTTTTTTTCTTTTTCAAGTGGCCGAGTTGGGGGGACCGCACACCCCACAGCATTCCCCACAGCAGCCTGGGGCCTGCATCATCACACCGAAGCTGCCGTCGGGGTCTTGTTTGCTTGCGGCGCGTCCAAAAAATCGAGGCACGACCAACCGAGGGGCAGTCGCGTCATTGTCTTGAAGGAAAGACAGGGCTGAACTGCCCCCCTCGGACACTCTCCCTTTCGGCGCGCCCAGCCTGGGAGCGATACAAGAACACAAGGACCAGGCCACCAAACGCACGCGCGACGAATGCCAACCGAAGCCGTCCTCCAGTAGTCGACAGTACCAGCCACAGACAACACGCAGACACAATGATGGGCACACGGAGCGCCTCCGGGCCGCAGGTCCCGTCGCGGGACGACTTCCTTAAGCTGCCAGACGAGCAGAAGACGCAGGTTAATGATGCAGTACGTCCGTCCGTTCCCCACGCCCGCCCGCCCTGACAGGGAGGGCCATGCCATGCCATGCCCGAGTATCGCGCCAACGAAGCCCTCCCCAGTTCAACGTTTTCGACGTCGACAGAGACGGCCGCATCGACTACCACGAGTTCCGCTTCGCCCTGCGCGCGCTCGGCTTCGACCTGCCCAAGCCCGACACGTACGCGTTCCTGACCAAGCACGCGGTGCAGCCCGTCAACTGGGACCCTAGCCGGGAGTGCGGCCCCGTGTTCCGCGAGTTCACGCTGCCCATCTTCCAGGCCATCGCGGGCACCCTGATATTCCACCGCGACCCGGTCGAGGAGTGCCGGCGCGCCTTCCGGTTGTTCGACAGCAGCGGCCGCGGCATGATCACGGTGGAGGACCTGAGGCGCGTCGTGCAGGACATTGGGCAGAACATCGAGGAGAACGAGCTGAGCGCCATGATCCGCGAGTTCGACTCGGACGGCAAGGGCGGCGTCAACGAGGACGAGTTTGTACGCATAATGATGCGCAACCGGGCTTAGCAATCGCACTCGACTCCCCTTTTGCTTACTTGGTGCTCGATATATCAAACATCTGGGACCTCGTCTATTTTGGTTGGGAGCCTTGGTACTTGAATGACTGTTGCATTTCTGCCTTTCGTCTTTTATTCATGTTATTTTCTGTCCGTCCCCAGTCGTTCAAGCAAGCATCTGACGCCCGCTGCAAGCCCTCGGAATTGGCGCCTGACTCACACGCAGGGAGCACTACTGCCTAGAACCGTCGCTATACTGTATATCAGCACAGCAGCACAGCAACGACGGTAGCGGACA